AGGGGCACCCGAGGATTTCCTCCCAGTAAAGCTGGAAATCTGCCATATGACCTATGCTGTGTTGGTGCGACATAAAACACAACAACAAAACAAACAAAATATCACTGAAGCAAAACTTATGATACAGTTGGTCTGAGGTGTATAGGTTAGATGTCATAGATTATGTTCATATTTTGTCTGGAACTATTTGGTACCAAAACAAAGACAACATTGCTGAAAAGTATCAAGAATTTGTCCCGACTTTGTGACACTTGTGATCAGAGATTGCTCAAACATCATTTTAGATTCAAAGACTTTAAAATTATAAAAACACACAACATCGTCATGAATCAAGAAGGAATCAGTCGGTTTACAGAAATAGTAAACTAACAGCTTTCTTTTGTAATATGTGGGGAGTTTTGTTACTATTTTAAGCTCTCTCATTAGTGGTTATTGACTATACTAGTTTTAGGATGTCTGGCAGTCAAGGGTTTCAATATTAGATCATGGAGATTTATGTATGTCTAGGTAAAATTTTCGTGTCAAAGACGAGGTATTTCCCAGACATGTGACAGTTATATGCCGAGTTAAAGAATGGTTCACTTGGCAAGACATTAATTTCTATATGTCACAAATGGAAGAAACCCGGAGGTGATGTCATTGACACATGGAATGATTTTCTTTGGTATATTTTGTCTGGTCATTTGTCTGAAAAAGTGCGCACGGAGCGGCACCATCAGAGATTGAAACTTTTACTTGTTCTTAGCACGACTATTTGAAAAATAAGACCTATTGTACTTACCCGGGAATTGCTGTTGTCGTCACACCTTGATTAAGTTTTTGCATACAAGTTCGTAACTACAGAAGGGAATGGGTTGAAACTTTACTCACTTGGTCCCTGCGATTATATAACATACTCGACACAGTTTCACAGTGCGATCTTAGAAGCTCTTTATCTTCTACTGTTTATGAGTAGAATTTGCTACAGGACAAGTCAAAATTGTAACCTTCTCACCCAACATCAACAAAGTAAAAGACCACTGTGCTCACATTCAGCAATAGTTAAATGAAAATAATAATGCATTGCGTAAACTTCTGATGGGCACATCAGATTCCTGTCAGTGGTATAATTATGTGAGCACTTTATTCATACCCCAAAATGTCTGCTTGGTTTCCAGCTTTCTCTAAATGTACACTTCTGTTACTTACCCATGTCCATTTGCATAATGAGTACATTTCTTAATTCATTTACAAATGAATTTAAGCCTGCACAGATAATCTTATTAAGAATAGTCAGTGTTTATTCTAGGATTCAAAAAACAGGGAGGATTTTTACGAAAAGTGAGTATTTATTACATTTGTTGATTTTTTTCCTTCTTTCTCTACCTGCCTCTGAAAAAATAGGGGGAATTCTCAAAACTATGGGTGAATTCCCCCATCGCCCCTGCTAGAATAGACACTGATAGTACATGAAATATGGGACAAGGAGTAGCCTCACATGCAGGACAAGTAAAATTTGACAGTCATCCATCCAACAGGAAATAGTTTTTTATTTGTTCGGGTCGTCCAGACCAAACAAATAATGGTAGCGAAATTTCAGACCCTGATGTGCTTATTTGCAAAATCGAAAGTAGTCCAAACTCCTCGAAGCGGTTACTTCCCTTTATATGTACACTAAAAAGTTAATGGGAGATCACTGCGTAAAGATTGTCAAATGATAGGGGCATTAATTTTCAAGCCTTCTCGGAGAAGAAAAAATAGTTCCCGATTGGTCGAAGATTTCTTATGTTGTGTTATTCTTTTTAGATATACATGTGATGATTATTTACATCAGTATTAAACAACAGGTTTACCGTGAACAAAATATATTGAAATGAATGAGGGTTACAAACCCTAATTAGAATAATGTGGTTTTCTACAGGCTTGTTATATCTTATAACTTCCCCGTGGTCGAGGGTTTACACGCCCACTTAAGAAGCAAGAGGTCTGGAGTTCAAATCCCAGTTAAGGCAACTCATGTTTTTTTGATTTTGTTTCTAAATTGTTTAAGCCAAATAAACATTGAATTGAATATCAGTGCTGCAATTAGTCTTGTAGCCAACTTACTACAGTTATATAACACTGGAAACAGCTTTGGTGGCACTATACAAAAGCAAATTGGTTTATAATCTCACAACCTTCACCTTTCTGATATTCTGAGACCCAAACAAATTCAGTGCCTTATGTGCTTTGATTTCTATCCCTAATTATTCAGTGCAAACAGTGATTGATTAGTGTAGGAGGAGCTTCTCTGGTCTGCCTTACGTCACTCAGTATGCCTGGAATATATTATTATAATTTAATATTGTACTATACAAATGTGCAGCACAAGGATAAATTATGTAATAAATGATGTTATTGTTGTCCAATTATATAAATGTAGGACATTATTTTTAGATATAAGTAATTTTTATATAGATTATATTACCTTTGTTAATTGTATATTTACAATATATTAACTTGTATCATAGTTTGAGGACCTTTCTGTTGAAAAAGTGTCAGAGTTAAATCGTATACATATACATGCACAGTGCGGTAACTGGAGTGCAGGTATCAGTTACCCGCACTCCAGATCATGCCCGTTGATTGGCTCATTTTTGCTGGGGTTTACATATTGTGACGGCAGAGCAAGGGAATACGGCAGAAATATCATATTCAGATGCTCGATCATTGGTTACTTTTTCCCGGGGTTTAAAATTGTGACAACAGGGAACGTGTTTTTATGTTTGACTATGATACAAAAGAGAAAGAACACCAAAACACTCGGCAATCTGATTTATACTCGGGGGCTACGCCCCCTCGTACAAATCAGATAGCCTCGTGTTTCGGTGCTCTTACATAGACCATTTAATAAATGCTATTGTTGATATAATAGGATAATTGGATCAAAAACCAACACAAATTAAGTATCAAAACATGTTTCGCTTTATTAAGCTTCCTCAGTTGATGCATATATAAAAATGACGTAAACGTACAAAACAAACATCTACGTTAATAGACGTTACATTTGGCGCGTAAAAGGAACGTGATAATATTACAATAAGTATTACAATAAAACATGTGCATATGTATGTATAAACGTAATTTTTGTGTCGCCTCTACGGAGTAGTGGCGACATATAGGGATCACTTCTCCGTCGTCTGTCTGTCTGTCTGTCTGTCCGTCCGTCCGTCCGTCACAAAACTTGTCCGGACTACTCCTCATAAACTACTGGTGCAATTTCATCCAAACTTTACAGGAATGATCAGTACCAAGTCTAGTTGTGCATATTGTCAGCATTTTCCGGTTCAATGATTTTTGTCAGAGTTTATGGCCCTTTAATAATTTTTAATTTTAAAGTTTGTCCGGACTACTTCTCTTATACCACTAATTTATTATCCAAACTTTATAGGAATGATCAGTACCAAGTCTAGTTGTGCACTGTCTGTCTGTCTGTCCGTCTGTCACAAAATTTGTCCCAACATGAAATTGGCCATCATGAGGCGACACATGTGATTACTGATCGCTCTTGTTTTTAAAACAAAGCATATATAATTTTCGAAAAGAATTACATAAAATAACTGGATCAAAAGATACATATATTTTCATAGAGAAACTAGGCTAGTAAATAATTACAACAAATATGAAAACAACAGTTACTTATGTGAAAGTTTAGAATTCGAAAAAAATGTGCTTTTATCACATGTTGAAAATTGTAAAAAAGGGAGATAATAATTTAGAAACATCGTTATCAATCAGTATATTTTATAAAGCTATAAAATAAAATGAAAATGATCTATCTATCATCTATTCAAAATATGGTATTATGCTCAAAATCAATTTATGTTATATGAAATAATGTTGTTGATATAATAGCAGAACTTCTTTTATTTGCTAGGAAAAAAACTTAATAAGCAGACTTGAACATATTATTTACTGACAAAGGTTGTTGGAGCACAGATGCTAATTATGATATTATGAAGGGACATTGCTTTTACTTCACAATGAAAACTCATTTTATGGAAACCTAAATATGTAATATTTTTTATTACAATGGGATTCTGTTAACCTGCCGGAAACAAGAGTGTTTCTAAGCCTTTGTGACCAGTATAGTCAGTCTGCACATCTGAGCAATCGGACCTGGCTTAATTGTTGGCTTATTAGAAAAATTTTCCTCCTGATTTTCCTAAAAGTGATAAATCTTCAGTTCCAATAATTTAAGGTGAACAAGTCCATTCTAGAAGTTTTGGAAGGGTTTTATGATTTACTGTAAATGAATGAGCTGTTTTAGACATGTTAACTGAATACAGGAACAAATTATATAAACAACATCTTGATTTAAGGGGAGAAATGATTAAAATGTCTGTAAGATTATTGGCAAAACCATTCAACAATAGAATCTTGAATCTTGTTTTTGAGTTGATAGCTGATATTTGTAGTCTGAAGTTGAAATATGAGATAATCATATAAAGTTATAAACCCTGATTTTATATAATGAACTCCTCCTGCTTTGAATTTAATGGAATAATCTTGTTTTTTATATGAACATTTTCAGATGGAAAAAAAACAACAACAACAAAAACTAACAAGTAATTAGCCCTTTTCCCCTATTGGTTTTATATATTGGACTTGTCCTTATTGAATAATGATCATATTCAGCCTGCATGTCTAGAAATAAAACTGGACAAGTCCATTTAAGATCTTCAGTTGGCTATATATAAGGCTTAAACTTATGTCTCATGCAAGTGCTTTGGATTTAGGGCACTCCATAGAGTGTCTTGTAAAATATATATCACCAATTTAACTCTGAATACCTGTAATGATATCTGTAATAGCGAGCTTGACAAGCTGGCCCGAAGGGCCTGCTCGCAAAGCAAGTTTTACGGTAACGCGAGTACCTGCTAGGTGATGGTTTTGAAAACTTATGCTACTCTATTGTTTAATCATCTAAAACATTTTAAAGTATTGTAATAGTATATTGTTATACTTTTGTTTATTTTCAGAAATTTACCCAAGGTAAATTGACTAACAAATCAGGGGGAGATAAGTGTACACCAAAGAGGAACAACTCCATCTCACCTGCAAGACATATACATAGACATCAACATGTCAAGAAGAAAGACAAGGTATGTGCAATGTTTTTAGCCTATCTCTATTATAATAGCCTGCGGTATTGCCTTAAAAAACTTTTTTGATGCTGCATTTTAATTATCCCAGTTACCATAGTGATAACATCATAGTTGGCTTCATATATTCACAGTCCAGTGATCAAGGATAACACAACTGTAATGTAACATAGGTGTGCCATGATCTACTATAGGCAAAAACAATGGTTGAATGCAACTCAGTCCATGTTTGGAAATGAGGACCTTTGGGACAGTTGATTTTCATAATGGTATTTTCATTGGTAGAAATATGCAAATTTTATTGTCCTAAAAATGAATGATAAATATCATTCTCTTATCGATTAGGAAATTCTGAATATTTACAAACAAGGTAATAACAAGCAAAAATGTAAAATTTTTTGAGTTGGTTTGTTTGGTTTTATTGCCAATTTAAACAGATGTTTGGTCACAACTTGGCAATTGGTTCACCTAACTCCAGGCTTTCTTGGATAGCTATCCAGTTACTACCAATTTCTTCCAGTGAACAATTATAAATCGGACAGGATTTCTGAATCAGTATTAAGAGATGAGTTTACTTCAATGTTCAAGGTAGATTATCATAGAGAAATTTCAACCCAGCTCCTGGATCGAATAAGCAACACCAGCATTATAAATCCCTGGCATGCTGTTGATCCTTATTGAGCTGAGCATGCGGCAGGCCATTGATTTGTTTAGTTGCTCCTTTCAAGGGCATTATTAGCCATAAGAGCATACCATTAGCCGAGCTGTAATATTATTTAATCTTAGATGAAATATTTTATTTTTATCTCATTTGAGCACAAAATGTAAATTATAAAGGTGCTCAAATGTGAAGGTCTGTTCAACAACTTTTCCAAAACCACAGCTTAGACAGTATGAAGTTTAAATAAGATACAAATATTTTCCAAATTCAACATGTAAGTCTAAATGTTGACTTACATTGGATGATATAATTTGTGTCAAATGTTTTTTTTTTTCTTTTTGCAATGATGCATAATTTTATTCAATATATCTTATCAGTTTTGTTTGTTCTGCAATTTTTATATATAATTTCTTTTCAATGAGTTATAGGTTACATGGCCCTTTTAAACTATGATGAATGATGGTAAAGTTTTCAATGATGGGTGTTATTTGATTTTTTCATAATGATATAAATTATCTATACTGCCATGATAAAATGGCATGTTTCATTCTAATTAGTATAATTAGTAAGTCTGCATGTTGTGCCGTGCATTGTAATAAACCATATTTTAAAGTTTTATGGAAAACTGTCTACAGAAATTTGGAAGATGATTCTTTTGGGAAGATTAAAAGTGGCAGAATATGTCTGCGGATTGTAATATTTGACAGTAAGAAATTCGTGTGATTGGAGAATGTGTTCCACTGATGGATCTGTATTCAAAAGAAGGTTTAAAAAATTCATAGGCTCTAGAAGTTTTCTTAACAAAATGATGAATAGGTATCTTAATAAGTAGACCAATGTAAATGTAATTGGGTTAATAGGTCAAAGGTCATGGCCTCCAGGTTTAGCAAAGCAAAATTTTGTGTTGTTGAAAATTGCTGTGTAATTATCTTGGTTGTAATGTAAGCCTCATTTATGGTAAATATGCCTCATTTAAGGTCAAATGCCCCAATTAAGGTCCCTATGTCTTAATTAGGTCAAATGCCTCAAAGTCAAATGTCTCAATTTAGGTCATATGCCTCAATTATGCTCAGTACGAGGGTTGTCCCAATATTCTGTGACAATATTGTTTAAAAGCTAAATTAAATAGTTACGAATTTAATATTTTAATGTCATATTAACCCATGTTATGGAATTATTTTCACAAATTTACATAGCAAAATATCAACAAACAACAAAAATATGCCATAAATACTATGGCAACTATTTGAATCGCGGCGCAAGTCAAACGTCAAAGACGGCGATAAATCTATATTAAAATATAGAATACTGTCCACAACATTCAACGCATAAACGGTGTACTTTTATTCATTAATCGTCCATTACGGACTTATACTATGTGGTTGTTAGTCTCTATTGAATGTTTTGATGACAAACATTAATTTCTTGCAATAAGCGAGCTTCCGGTCTCGTTGCACCTGCTTTAGCTGTAGGAAATAGGCGACGGAGATCCACCTTCCCGTTCACCTCTTCCTTTAAGGGTTTTCTGTAATTCAGAACTATGGTTCCGTTCATATCTTTTGTAAACAAATGCTCGGGATATGTTTTTAACTGTTCTGTCCTGTACATTACTTGAATAATCTTAACAGATGTCATCTAAAAAATGTCACGAAACACCTTATTTGCTGGGCCGCAAATTCTTCGAATGGCGCCATTTCAAACTTTCCTATTTTCTATGAGATAATTTCATTTTTCCGTATCTCGTTCGTTTCTTAAGTTATTTAACTTAAATTTTCTACGATTATGTCAGCATAGCAGCAGAGAAAGTCAACGTGATATTGTGCAAAAACATTATCAGATATTAGAAATATACGCAATTTATTCAAGCCTATTCATAACAAAATGGAATTTTTTGACGTGCGCCGGGAATTCAAACCAATTTCGTTAACATTGGAAATTTTTAAGTAACTCGAGTAGATATTTTGTACATGATTAGTTGTAATGTAAAATAATAAACTTATAGGTTATATTTGTGAATTATTATCTATGGGCGTTAAAAATGAACCGTCTGTAAAATTTGTAACAGACTTTTGGGACAACCCTCGTATGTCTCAGTTAAGGTCAATTGCCCCAGTTAAGGCCAAATGTCTCATTTAAGGTCAATATACCTCTGTTAATGTCATTATCCCTCAATTAAGGTCATATGTCCCAATTAAGATCAGTATGCCTCAATACATGTCAATATACCTCAGTTAAGGTCAGTATGCCTCCATTAAAATCAGTATGCCTCAATTAAGGTCAAATGCCTCAGAAAAGTTTAGGTGAGTATGCCAAAACTTAGTTTGTTTCAATTTAGGTCAAAATGCATCATTTAAGGTCAGTATACCTCAATTAATGTTATTATGCCTCACTTAAGGTCAAATACCCCAATTTATTTCAATAACCTAGTTTGTCTCAGGTATGATGCACCACTTGAGCTTAAAATGACCTGACTTTGTAATGTCAGTTTGACAGAACTTGTATTTTTGATTGAGGTTAAAACTTTTAAATACCTGGTTGTTGCTACATTATTATTATTTATATTAACCCCCATGATGATAAAAAAAATATCTACAAAAATATTTGCAGAATGTATTTATCAAATAAAAAAAAATGTAATTTACATTTCTACAGATATTATATTTACAATGAATTATTGCGACTGCATTTATACCAGTAATATTTAAAAATTTTATGCAAGCCTATCTGTCATACTTGATTTCAAAGATGTTTTTATGATAGATACAAGCAGCAAAAAAAAGGCCTGTCTGAGAATGGTAAATTGGCAGACATTATTTGATCAATGATTTACATGTTATTCTTTGTAGATCTGAAATCCAATTTAGATAGTTTGGAAACTCTGAATTGGTTTCAAAGGATGTTTTCAAACAAGAAGGTTTTTTTATGATTTTTTTTTTGCCTGTGTTTGATTCTTGTTTTGAGATGGTTATCACGGAGAGAACTGTGTTTTACATGAAAACAGGGATAAATATTTTAGTTTACTAATTGAGAATTTGAGAGAAGTTTAAAAAAACAAGAATGCCTGCTATGTAGTTGAAAGAGCTGTATGTGTATTTTCAGAAGAGTATGAACATTTATAACTATGTTATTTAAAGAAGAATGTATTATTAGAATAGACTAATTCTGGAATCAAGAATATTTTGGGTTTTTCCCAGAGAATCCAGGAGTACAAACAAACTTTTACAGTTACAGCTTCGAAAATAAGTGCAACAGGTTGACTAATCTATTATGACCGGTGGTGCACTGTCAAGCTTTAATGTTGAAAGATTTCTTGTACCAGGGGATTAGCTTGGAAAAACCCACATTTGCCTCAGGTTCCGGATAACATCTATTGAAAGGAATGGGTTGCTAGACTATGCTACAAAGTAAATGTCCTTAAGAATTGCACCAAGTCAGAAGTCATACTTATTGGTATAGCACAGAGGGTATTTTTGGTACAGAAATGGTTATCACCACCTGCTTTGTAACCTTCTGTAGATTTAAAGATAAAGTATGGAAATGTACATGCGATTTTCCATTTCAAATGTGGTTTTTCCATTTCAAAAGTATGAGTATTGTATAATCAAGATTGGAAATATTTCGTCTGAACTCAGAGGTTTTATATGCAAATGACCCAAGTGTATCAAGTATATTAATAAATGCAGTTTTGTTATGGATTTATGACATTTGATACATCTTGTCTGCTCTTTCAATCATAATTTGATAAAAGAAAACAGAATCTTTGTTGAGTTTTTTTTCTGTGAACAAAGGTGGGCATTATATAAACATTATTAGATGTAATCAGTATTTAATTTATGATATGTTTTCGACCACTTTTCCTTCATCAGCAAATTTGAAAAAGTTGCTGTATAAACCTTTAAATCTCAGTTTAATACCCATTGACTGCTAATAGGATTATTATGTACCTTTCACTTGAAAACAGAACAGACAAAATAAAACAGGACAGAATTTTGACACAGTCTGATCAACCTGTCCTTATTAACCAAATAATTTGGCGCAGCCGAGTGGTTATCGGGTCTGACTAGTAATCTATGGGTTGCTGACCGCGTGGGTTCAAATCTTGTCTGGGGCAATCCATTGTTTCCTTGAACAAGAAACTTTACATTCATTGCTTAGTACTGGTTGGTACCTGGAAAGGATAGAGTGTTTCAATAAGCCTATAGCTTCCAACAGTATCAAACTAAAATAAATTTGTATAAACTTTTTAAATTCCAGTTAAAATGCTAATAAAACTAAAAGGCCATGCACACATTTATAACATACTTGTGTTTCTTACAGTCTTTGACAGCAAAATCCTTTT